TCTCGTTTGAAATATTTTAAGCTCACATAAAATTTCCTTCCATTATTGTTGGAGATCGTATCTACAATCAAGGGAGTGTGAACCTAGACTCCAAGGAGAATAACAATTTGGCGAAATATGCATAAATTTAAACATATTACACATAATTTTAGTAAAAAAATTGATAGTTTTACGTAAGCTACTGTGTAATTATAGTAGCATAACAAAACAAGAAATTATAGTATTTTTGAATACGGCCATTTCGGTTGTTAGTGACTTAAAAAAATGTTTTTAAGTTCGATACTTGATTAAAAGATTATTTTCGTAAAGGTGCGATTAGTTTTGTTATGTTTTTATGTGTTATTTCTTTATAATTATTTTTGTGCTTTTTTTGCTTATTGTGTTGTGATATTGGAAGGATTAAATTTTATTTTATTTTTTATTTTTATTTATTTAAAAAATTGGTGATCCATATACACTCAATCGATGAGATAAAAAAATAAGAAGACATAGACATATCATTGATATCTGTGATTTTGTGGTATATCATATACCTAACCCGTTTCAGCAAAAAAGTTGTATAAATGCATGAGGCATAACAATTTTAATGTCAGTCGAGGTCACGAAGCGACTGGCTTGCAGAGAAAAAACGCGCTGCCTAACACGCCAAGAACTAGACGGCCTACAAAAAATGATTCCGTAAGGCGCGCGGTGCAGCGTTTGAATTGTAGCGACTATTTTTGAATTCCTTGACTCCACTATCACACATTTTTTTCTTTACGTAGTTGTTACGCTTACAAATAATGGTTATTTGAGAAGATGGTACTGTTTTATCCTGTATGTATATATCAGATCCAGCTTTGTCTTCGATTTCAACACGTCTCGGTTTTAAGGATTGAGTGGAATCGTATAAACTCCTGTAATTTTATAGGGGTACGGTCAGTCAGGTTTTGTTTTTTTTAATTAGTCACTAGCTATTAAATATTTTTGTATGTGTGCATTGTACATTTTAGCGTTTACAAATCGTTGCGTTAGTGTGAGCCGTCTACGCAACTTTTAAATGTGTGCTACTAAATATGTTAATAAATGTCTGCGATTTTTTGTGTGGGTTACTGAGTTTTGTTTGCAACGACTTTAATATAGAATTATAAAAGTTACATTTATAAAAAAATCATAAGCCTATAATGATATTGCAACTCATACTACTACATGTCATTTTTCCAATAAAATTATAAACTTCATAAAAACTAAAAAGGTTTGAATAAAGAATAATATACGATATATTTAAAAATTGTTTTCAAATAGATTGCGCTAGCGTTAACAGAAAACAAATCCCTTAGTCGCGGCCAAGACTCACGTCTACAATTCTTGGAAGTGAGCTGACTTGCACTAGGCACTGACGCGACGTCGAACGTTCGCATCGGATCGTCCACACCCATCGAACTTTGCACCTACACCAAAACTTTACCAAACTAATCAACCTTAACGATATCGCTACAATTACCACAACATGCCAACCCAGTTATGTTTTAGACACTACCATAAATGTATATTCATTACGATAATAGAAATAAATAAAAGATAACTTAAGAGGAAAACACAAAATTAAAAATATTTCAAAAATCATAACTAATTAATTCCTAAAATACAAACACGCAAGAAAAGGCAAAAATTGTCTAAAATCAGTTTCGTAAATGTGTGCAGTGCAAAATAATACTATTGTTTGATTTTCAAATTTAAAAATACATTTAAAGTTGAATTAAACAAAAATAGATAGGTACAATGGACAATGCCGCAATTAGAGGTAAATTTACCTAATTACTCCATTGGCTCAATACAATAATCATTAAAGGGTTTGATAGCCCGGTGCGTTCCTTTTGAGATTCCGGAACCATCCGCACCGGACAATTTACAGTTGATAATGGCCACCAAGGGCGATTTAGTGAGTTAAAGTCTCAACTAGTCAAGGTCAACTCGATAGCAAAAAAGGTTGGAATCAAAAGTTTATGATACTGATAATATATGTTTCTAAAATGGTCCGGTGTACCTTATGTTTCCAAATCGTTAGATGCGACATGCGCATTATTAAATTTGTCTAGTCATTATTCCAATTTTGTAATTTGTACCTCGTTAGATTAAATTTATAATGGTCGTTACTTACGAATGCATTTTAGACCTTCAGTCGTTGACGTAAATGTGCTGTGCTAAGAAAAAAGCCCGACGATTCAAGTTGCTGAGAGCGAGAGAGTTCCTTTCACCGCGCATAACTTGAGCTCGGTGACTAAAGACGTTAAAAAATAGGCGAGCTTTTGGGACCTTTTTTTCAAAGCTTAATTTCATCTATTAGAGTTAATTGGATTAGATAGAAGTGGCATTGACCGTCTGCACATTTTTAATTGTAAATACTAGTATTAAAGCAACAAGATGAAGTATTAAAATTTAGAATTCTATAAAATAGCTGTCAGCCGCGACTCCGTCGGCGCGGAATTAAAAATAAACTTAATAAGTAGCCTATGTGTTCTTCAGACTATTTTCTTCATAAGTGCCAAATTACAGCGAGATCCAAAAGCCGTTCGCGAGATTCTCAAAAGAAACATCCACCCACCCACCCATCCATCCATCTAAACTTCGCTTTTATACTATTACTAAGAAGTAAGATTAGTAAGACTTCGAAACATTTAGTAGAACTATTTAATTGATCAAATTCGGTAATGTGATATACATATTTGTAGTAAAAGGTTCCGAGTTTGCATCAAGTGAAATATCGAATTATACTATTAAAGTAAAAGTAAATATAGTTAATAGTTCAAGTATCGAAGGCGAGTTCAACAAACGAAGACGTAAGTAGCTTAGTTTTTGGTTCAACACCCCACACAAGTGCATAGACCTCGATTCATAAAGAAAGGGCTTCGACCGCATTTCATCAAATGGATCTAGTTATGGCGCACAAAGGCCATAGACATTTCGATTACACTGAATTTACGTAAATTTGATATGACTAAAGACGCTGAACGATTGACGAGCTGACGATTTTTAAGTGATTATTTTGATCGATTCACGTCTAGTGATTTAATTATTTATGGGGATAAATATCTTTATGAGACATGTTAGTTGTCGCAGGACACTGTCGGTGCGGAATTAAAAAAAATACTAAGTGGTCTAAGTGTTATTCCAGACTACGTGCTTCGTCTATACCAAATTTCATTGAGATACGTTGAGCCGTTCTAGAAATACCTTTTAACAAACATCCATCCAACTATTAGTATTGCATTAGAAATACTATACTTAAAATGCAATATTTTTATCAACTTTTTTGCGAATTTTTCAGACATATATCACATCTATATCTATATACATATCAAAAGTTCACATATCGGTTAATAGCTTTTAATTGTTTACTTAGATATTAAGTTACTTAGATATTATTTTAAGTTGGATAACTTATCCGTAATTTATGTCAAAAAAATAATTTTGAGGTGCATATAAATATTTTACCTCAAACCTTATAATTAAAATAAATCAAATCCAAAGTAAATCAAACCAAAAGTGAAATATAAATAAAAGAAATTGGCCGTTTAAAAATTGACTTATTTTGCATTCAGTTTTAAAATACGCCTGATCAAATAGGCAGTGGAATTGTATAAAATGACAATTTCAAGTGCGTTTACCTATTAATAGGAAACTCTACACCCGCCTGTTAGACATTGATGTAATATTCTCAGAATTTAAAATGTGCTTACGTCGGATCGCGTACCGGCGTAGGAGCAATACGTCGCATATCGTACTGGTTAACTTTATATTGACCTAAAATTGTTTTGCAAGACTATAATGATTACGAGATGTCGCATTTATTTTTCATAGTAGCAACAATTGGAATTAGTTCCGTGAGGGACTTAGTCCAAATGACTTAAATAAAATGCACGAGAGGAAAGTGCGTACAAGTCCGAGTACCCAGTACTCGAGGATGGCCACCAATTAGTTCTAGGAAATAAATATTTATTTTAGAAAGAAGGGTAAGGTATCTTTTGAAGATTTCCCACCTGATACCAAAAACGTTTCTACAGCCGTATTTGAATCTAAATAAATGTATTTGAGAGATACGGAGACGTATATTTGAGCCGCTTGTCGCTTGATAAAGGCGCGTTTCTACGATGTTTGGTTCTACGGACTCTTTCCTTTAGTATATAAAAACACTCTCTATGTTTCTTATAAAAACCACTGTTGAAATATTTCGGAAGTTTTGTTACTTATATTAAGTAATTAATTAAATAATTTTTATAAAACTATATTTAACATTTTATGAACTAAATATTTATATTTATATACATATCTCTTAATTACGACCCTCGATAGGGATAAGGGCAGGTTGATGATGATGATGATGATACATATCTCTTAAGTAAAGTTAAATCGTTTAATGAATGCAATTGCACATGTATTTGGATGCACGGAGAAGTTTCGTCAATAATGTAAACTTAACAATTTACTACACCACAACATTAAAAAATAATGTTAAGCCATTTATCTAAAATAATAATCAAATATTGATTTTATTTAGTTGTATGGAAGTAGACAAAACTTTAATAGTTTTAATAGTAAATAATAAAGATGTAATAAAATAATGATTGTTCCGGGTTGTTATTGTGCGATAGTAGATGTGGAGAGGTGGTGCGCGGCGCGGCGCGGTGCGGTGCGGAGCGGCGCGCTCGACCGCCGCCGCC